TGGAGGAGGGCCCTGGACACCTGCTTAGGGTTAATCAGCTGACTGTGACAATGCAACCCTCCTCCAGAAGCTTCCTCTGGATGCAGCCTCCCAGGGCTGCTTCAGGGACATGGTCAATCAAAGCCAAGGCCGGGTCCACGTTGGGTAGGAGAGCACAGTAAACAGCACGTTTCATGTGCAAAGATGCTCTGACTTGGTATGATGGACCAGTGGTCCCTTCCGTGCCTGACAGCCCCATTCCCTGGGGACTCAGATGCCCAAGAAACTCTTCATAAAAATCAAAATGCACCCAGAAGAGAGATGTGTCTCCTCTGTGAATGGATCATGTCTCCACACGACAGGTCTGCACAGCAGACTGTGAAGCTGCCTGCAGACTCCAAGCACCTGGTTGTGAGAATTGCACCCATGTAACGTGAGGGTTTGGGTTAGCTTTGTGCAACAAATGAAAATGAGCTCCCTGGTTCCTGGGCAGGAAGAAAGCGGGCAAGCGGAACCTGGGCCAGTCTCCCAGTTGTACTGTCCTGTGCAGTCCCAGAAGTGTGTGTGCTTTGAGAGACCATGGTCCTCAAGTAGCTGTCTGAACTTCTGGAGACTCGGTAAAGGTCTTGGCAGGAAGGAGGACATTTTTGGACCTAGTTTCCAAAACTATAGTTCTGAATTCCAGGACAGTGATTAAGTATTCTTGGAGCTAGGAATTGTTGTTCCTCCATTTATGCAAACTTGTTTCGATGTAGCAGGAACTTTTATTAACTAAGTCATGCAGACTTACAAATCGCTTATCGGTATTGATAACTGACATCTGTGAGTGCGGTTGCTTTGTTTGTGAGAACATGTCTGACTCTCCGGAGCTCAGCGGAGGGGCGAGTAACACAAACCCCTGGTTCAGTGCCATTCCCTTCCTTCCAAGAAGAACTTTGTGATACATGAGAGGCTCAAAATCAACAGCGGGGTATAATGATCAGTATGGACAATAAATGAAACTGCAGGATGAAGTTACACTCCTACATTATACCTGCAGATTTCAAGAGCATTCAGCTGCTGGGAGTACTCAGCGGTTCATGATAGTTCTGGGCTAGCACCTAAAGTCAATGGTAAAAGCCTACAAGTGGGGGAAGACTGGGATTCAAGACAAGCATACTAAGTCTAAGGAAAACAACAGCGTGCATTTAACAGGATGTGAGCTAAGAAGTTGCTCTGGGCATCACGTGTCTGCTCATATGACACAATTGCAAGTACACAGCATCACTGCCTAAGAAAGAGAGAATGAATTGCCAGAAAGAATTGAACCTGGACTTGATCAAGCATCTGTATATAACTGCCAGTGTACAGGAAATTCAGGAGATTGAGGAGCTTGCTAAACAACATTACGAGGAAGAAAGAGGCCAAATCAATCCACAAAGTGGGAAATTCTATGGGACAAATGGATTCCTTCAATTTAGAAATAACATTGAAAACATAGGCAAGAAGAAGTATTATAGATTAAAAAATACTTGAGATAAGTTTTTAAAACATAATATATGGACCTAGTTTGGATACTGATTTCAACCAACTATAAATATAATCTTTTAGATAACATCAGAAATTTAAACAAAGACAGGTTGTTAGATAATCTTGATGATACTGTATCACAGATATGTTGAACACAGAAGTCCTGCTCCATATGTAGGCGTGTGTGTATATGTGTCTATACATATGTTCATATATATATGATGTAGCTGAGATTTACTTTTGAATGCCTTAGCAAATAAGTAGATACAGATAAAATAAGATCAGTACAATAGTAGTAAATGCTGATACTTGGGTAGTGCATACAGGAGATTTCAGGATACTATTTGACTTTTGCATACATCGACAATTTCCAGAATATGTTTCCATGAACAGGAACAAAAGGCTATGAGAGCTGCAGCTTTCCAGTGAAGAAAGCTTGCTGCTGCCTTGTGATGGGGATGGCGGGGGGGGGGGGTGTTCAAAGCATCAGCGTGAGCACCAACGTCGCGGCAGATGGGGCTGCTGGCTTGTGTGACAGCTGGGCAAGCTGGTACTGAAGGTGGCCCCCCAGGCTGGCCACTGCTAAAGACTAGAATTATAAAGACTACCAGCTCCACTCACCCTCCTATCTCGCTCCTCATCCTCCCTCCCATTCTTCCTCAAACGTATATTGAACATCCAACACAATGTTCCCTGGGAAGATGGAAGGAATGAGGCATATGCCCTCTTCTCGAGGGGTGTACATAATAATACATAGAGAATAGGACAGTTAGTCAAACAACAACCCCTAGATCCACTGATCTTCCAGGTATACCAGTAGTAAATTATGGCAACCATGTGGGGATCTGAGGATGGAAAGGTCAGAGATCTGAGGGTCTGCAGACTTTGGCCATAGACAGAGACTTGGGAAATCTAGTCATACTGCCCCTCAGGGTGGTCTTCAGATCCTTAAGCCAGGATCAGAGCAACTAGACCAGGGTCCCTGGTCCGTGCTGCCGAGTTTTCTGGCTTCGGCAGCTGGGCATAGGTGTGCACAATCTACAGTTCCTGGGCAAGAGGCACTTTCTTGCTGGACTTCAGTCTCTGGCCCTGGGACCGTGTCATCTGGAACAACCCCCAGGAGGTGTATGGTACAGGCATGCCGGCAGCTGCCATACCTGGTGACATTGGTCTGCATGCCTGGTTGGTGAGTGCATTTCCGATTCATTCACATTGTACCTCCGGAGAATAAGCACTTCAAACCTCTGAACCGCATGTCCCCTGCTCCCTTCCTGCCTTCTTTCCTGACGTGGACACAGACCCAGGTAATCTATGTCCTCTACTGTGTTGCTCTTCCAAGAACTTGCGATCACTTGCAGCCCACTCGCTCCTCCTCCACAGATGTTTTATTTGAAGAGCTCCAAATGGTGGTTGGGACTAACTGCAAAGGGCATTCGAATGAGAGCAGGTCTGTGGTGAAAGAGGAGCTGTGGTTGGAGAATGTCTTGTTCAGGAACAGTCTTGTTGCTCTAAAGGAGGCCCAGTGCCTCTTCACTGCTTACCAAACAGCTCTGAATGCAGGTCTCCCCTGTCAAACTGGTGGCTCTTAAACTGGCCTCCCAGGCATCCTGGGTCTCTGCTTGAGGGGTCAACATGGGCCATGGAAGAGGGTTAGGTGGTAAGAAGACATCTGCACTTGCAGGGTCCTTAGCCCTCCATCACCTGAGAGAACTGCTTTTTCTGCTGCCATCTCTAAGGCTCAAAACAAAATTTCCTTGTCTAAGAAAACAAAATTAAACACTAACTGCTTTAATAAAGGAATATTTTTTATTCATCGTTGATTCACCTCACCTGTGGCTTTTGCCACAGGGTGTGGAAACTGATTCCCCGAGATGTCTGAACACGCCCCCTGCGTTTTTGTTTTCTCTCTTTATTTCATTTCCTAGCCTTTCCTTTGTAGTCAGCATGAAGACAAGCCCGCCCAGTCCTGTGTGACTTTACACCAATTTGCAAAACAGGGGGTTCAGTTCTCTATAGTCAATCTTTTTCCGAAGTGGAAGCCCAATGCCACCAATCAGCCAGCATTCCTTTTGGCACGCCCTCGTGGCTTGGTGTGTCCGCCCGGTGCCCGGCAACACTGAGGAGCCACCTGTACACAGCAGGGGCCTGGGGAAAACGTTCTCTCATTGATCATGAAAGCCGACCCCTCTTCTGCGGGAAAACCAGGTTGATAAATTCAGGTAGCCTCGGGCTTCCCCCCGCCCCCCCCATACATCTCCCAGCGAAAGGCCAACCAGCATTGGAGAGTGACAGCAAAAGTGGCCGCCCCATCGATCAGGGCGGAAATCCCAGGGCGGCAGTGAGAGCTAATCACTGACTTCATGTCGCCATTTCCAATAAAAGTGACGGGCAAGTTACCACCTTGTAACCACAAGTACCTGCCTGTTTCAGAGCAGATAAACTGTGGGGGCCCTAGCTCTCCCGGACCTGAGAGGAATGCATTCAGCGGAGGAGGAGACACAAGCTGGAGGGCAGAGAATGATGTTCCGACAACTGCTCCCAGCAGCGAATCAGACAATCGTATGCTCAGGGCACCGGATGGTTGGGGATGGGGCATCCTGTTTTATGCCAACAAATGTTTAGGGAGCGTACACTCCATCGACGCACCTTCTGTCCCAGTCACTTTGCTGAACGTGCGCCACTTCCTCCTGCTAACCCCCAACCCTCCTTAACTGTGAAACCACGGCTCACCAGTCAGCTTCAGCTTACGTACCACTCTGGGAAGCTCTCTCTGCTCTTCAGACTGGGGTGCATACCTCTTATCTATGTTCCCATAACATGTGACATTTCCTCTTATCACGAAACTCATCAGGATAACTTCCAATGACCCATTTACTTCCTCGTTATAAGCTCCTTGAAGGGAAGGACTGCGTTTTGCTTGCTAGGGTATCCGGCTACCTGGCACAGTGTCTGAGACAAAGGAAGCTGTTCAAGGTTATGAAGTTAGTGATGGGCAACACTGGGACACGAGCCCAAGGCTGTGGCAAACCGTATCTAGCATAGAATCTGTCTCTAATGATCAAACAAAAGCATTTCTCTAGATCAGGGCTTCCCAAACTCTAACGTGCATGGTCATCACCAGAGCACCTTGTTAAAAGGGGAACCTTGATCCAGCAGGTATAGGTTGGGGGCCATGGTCTGCGTGTCTAACAGGCTCCCAGGTGATGCTTCTGCAGCTGGTTCACGGGTTTCATGAAAAAGCAAGACTCTAGCTGACATAAAAACAAAATACTTTGAGAGCCCCTGTCAGAGAAAAGTGGCTCTGCCTCACCCGGCGTGAGCTCAGATCCCAAGTGCCATGTGAGAGGGTCTGAGACGGGCTTTCTCTGCCCTCTGCCCCCTTCTCTCTCCAGCCTCAGAGCACCTGCTCCCCCACAGCCAAGGAGGAATGAAGTCGATGACTCTTTGCTCTGCAGTCACACACTTCAGCTCACACCACAGCTCTTGACTGCATTTGTTATTCTAGGAGAGATTCTAACTTGACAGTGGAGGGTGAGATAAACCCCGAGTTTTCAGATTGTATTTCCTGGATCTGTCTAAACAAATTCTCTTAACGCCTGCCGAGGAAATGATTCTGTTCTTTCCCTAGTAACCTGGGTAGAACTGACGTCATCCAAAACCCAGAGATCAGGCGGGGCCACTCCCTTCTGTTCCTTTCATGTGCCTCAATCATAGGCTAAGTCCACATTTTAGGGATGTTTTCTCTATAAGAAACCAAAGAGGTACCTCCACGCTGCTTTGCACAGGGGCTGCACCAGGCCGCATTCCCAAACACAGTGCAGAAGGGCTCCCTTTTCTCCACATCCTCGCCAGCACTTGCTGTTTGTTGATTTATTGATGATGGCCATTCTGACAGGTTTGGGATGATATCTCATTGTAGTTTTCATTTGCATTTCTCTGATGATCAGGGATGCTGAGCATCTTTTCATGTCTATTAGCAAAAAAAAAAAAAGCAATTTAAGAGACAGTGCCTGTGAGTCAACTGAACCAGGGACAGACATTTCACAGGTGAGGAAAGGGGTGGTTACAGAGGGCTGCATTGTATCCAGTAATAAAAAACACTGGCTGCTGATCACTTCTAATACTCAGCACATGTAGCTTTCTATGGATTATAGAATCAAGCATAAACCCTTCTCTCCAACTTTACAGCCATTCTGCTGTACCACGCCTACTCAACTTTCTTAATATGGCTCTAATTATCTATATCTTACCAATGTACAAACAGGAGTATTGATGAGCTAAAAATTAAAGGAAAACCAAGCCCATATAGATATGATAATACAACAAAAGCCACCAAGAAGTCATTGCAACAAGAGGAACAAACAAATGCTAAGTCTGGAGGACCTTAGGGCCCTTTAACCCCCCAAATATATCAATTTCTTTGTATTCCAAAGTTGTCTAGGAAAATCTAAACCATAGCTTTGCAAACCAGCTGTCTTGCAAAAATCTAAATTTATATCAGTGCTCGCAAGGGAGACAGAAAGAAATGCAAAGCTGGGTAAACTCAGGAAGACTGTCCATGTGTGCTGCCCTGATGAGGGCAGAGTCAATGGCAGTGGGTTTATTCGCCACATGTACTTGCTTTCCTTCCCAACTTAATTATACATTTCTGCACAAGGGTGTTCCCCCCTCTTCTGAATGCAAATTCCTTATTTAAACTCCGAATATTACCCCTCTTCTACATCACTTTATACTCTGATAAGAATGATCTTCATTGAGTCCATGTATAGATTATTTGCAAAAATATCCACGATGATTCCCCTCTTTGTATGCATGCCATGCTGCAATGTAACTTTGTTGCCCCTCCAATCAATTGCTTCGTTACTCCCCTACTGCTAGAATCAGAACTGGTCATGTGACTTTCCTCAACTAATAAAATGTAGCAGAAGTAATAATGCAGGGGAGTTTCAAGCCTAGGTCTCAGGAGACCTTGCATGTTTCAGCTCATCTTTGGAGACCCTGGCTTTTGCCATGTGACCAATCCCAAGCCAGCCTGCTGGAGGATGAGAGATGACATGGTGCAGAGTTAGCCCAGTTCTCCCAGCAGGGGCCCCAGACATAGGAGGGAACACGGCCAAGAGGAGCATTCATCTCCAGCCAACCCACCAGCTGGCTAGTTACGTGATCAGCTGCATGAGACCAGCTGAATTCGGCCAAGGTAGAAAGAAACGCTCAGTTGATGTTTGCAAATATTTTGATATAATTTCAGTGTTTATATTTACTGATGCTCACGTAGATAAAATGAAGTAGAACAGTGCCATTCCCAAGAGAATTTCTCCATTGGTAAGATTAAATCATAAGTGTCAACTTGAGGACCTTTATACATGTGTGGCCAGGGCCGGATGGCTCACCGCCCTACCTCCTCACCCTGTCCACAATAGGCCCTATGCCTGGTACAGAGCTGAGCACACAGTAGGCCTTCACTACAGACAGGAAGGATGAATACATATGGCTTCCCATCTGTCGTACAGAAAACTGAAATCGATCATTAATGATCCTCCTGACCAAGATCAACTCTAAATAAGACTACTTCTTCCCAGATAAATACGGATAGGAAGACTTCCATTGTTCTGGCTCCCTAAGCTAGAAGTTCTCAACCCTTAGGGGCAAAGAGTCTTAGGTAACAGCAATGGCTCACTGAGAACAGGGCAGGGCTTTTTCTCCAATAATAGGTGGGGGTACTCAGCAGAATAAGACTCTGGGTGTGTGTATGTGCCTTGAAAAAGCCCCCACAGGTAACTCTGATCTACCCCCCTCCACCTACGTTGAGAATCCCCAGGCCTATATCAAGCCCTCCCCCATCCACAAGCTTCTAGTCCTTTGCCGTAGAATATGGCCTCTAAGCACAGATGGCTATTTAAACTTGAATCCATTTAAATTAAAAATTCAGTTCCTCGGTAACACAGTCAAAGTGCTCAACAGAGACTTGTGAGCAGCACAGAGAATGTTTTCATGGCAGGACTTGTGCTATTAAACGATGCCATGTGGGTCTGTCCGTGAACCCCTCTCCGGTTCCTGCAGTCCCCCAAGCTCACGTTCACTCATTGTGTTTTAATCCTCAGTTAATCTACTGTCTTCCCCTTTTCATTCTATTTACCTTTTCCACTGCCCGCCCCCTGTGCACCTTCCATCTTTTAGTTCACACAAGCCTTCCTGAGCACCTGCCCCTGGGGCCTTGGATATGATGGGCTCCGGTATTTTCCATCCTCTAGGAGCACAGTGAAATCCTGCATTAACATTTAAATGAAGGTCCTACTTCAACCAGACAGAGGTTTGCCTAGAAATAAATCCATACATTTCAGGCTGGGGAGTTATCTTCTTTCTCGTACTATCACCTGTCTGGACTCCATGGGGAAAATATTACAAGCCCGCTGTTCCCTGTGCCTTTGGGAACAGAGCACCGATTTGCCTCTTGGTGAAGAACTCAGCTTGCAAACCCTCGCTGAGTGCTGGCTCCCTTTCCTTCCTTGTCTGTGTTGTATCTAAAACAACCAACAGCCCCTTAAAACCGAGCAGTAATTCTTGCTGCTGTAATTGGACACTGATCATGAACTGTAATGGAAGGTGTGTTTGCTAAAGGCAGCCCATCTTTCTGTCATTCTGGACTCCGCTCTTGCCAGGGATTTCCACGCCGAGGAGGGGTCATCGTGATTGCCTCCTTCCTTGGAGGGACCTACTTCCTCTTTAAGCGAGCCTCACAAATCTACCCATTGGTACAGTGGATCGGTTCGTCTCGGAAAACTGGAAAAAGAATTGAATGTCCTTGGTAATGGGAAGAATAAATAAGAAGGCCTGTGCTTATGTTGGGCAGCTCTGGAAGCAGAGGGATTTAATGCAAATGGTCTGCCTGGGAGGTGATCCCAGGAAGGACATCTGTCCTCCGACTCCCAGCTGTCGTTCACTGGTGGATGCCCCTGAGGACATCGAGTACCTGCACTTGCGGCCTCTCCCAGGAGCCAGTCAAGCACAACCCTGTGGTGAGAGGAAGACCTTTGAATAGTTGTGAGTGCCGCCAACACGTGTAAGAATGGTAACACCAAGGGTCTGTGGGCAGGGCACCGGCCGCTCTGGCACCACCCTCTTCTTCCGGACTGGAATTCCGTGCATTTCCTTGAGAAGGCAGGGGGTTTGTTTTTGTATCACTTGGATCATTTAAAAAATCATCCTCCATCATGAGGCCTGGCGAGAACCGTCCTATGCCATCCACTCCCCTAGAGCAGTGAAGTCAGCCGGGACTCTGAATCGTTATGATGGGGACAGTGGGCATTTGCTGCCACGGCCAGCTTGGTTTTCTTCTTGCCATCCTGCGTTACTCTGATGGATGGGTTTGTGGGTCACAGATACTTGCCTGTGTCCTGGCTGCAGAGAAAAACACGTGGTCCAGGCCAGCCTATCACTGCCCTCATGCAGTGACTAAATGCACAAGGGGCAGCCATGTGCCTGAAGCAGGGCCCATCAGCATCCTCTCCCGAGATCTCAGGTGGCCGCTGGAAGAGCGGGGTTCTCCAGAATTATGTAAGCCTAGAGTCATCGAGGGCCACCTTCTCCCTAACCGGAAGGCAGCACCTGGAAAATGAAGCCATCCCGAGGAAGGTCAGACAAAAGTGCGGGTAGACAGAGGCTGAGACCTTGTGGGCACAGGCAAACGCCTGGATTTAGCTTTGCCTGAAGTCAGATCACTCCTGACTTTCAAAGCACACAAGCCAGCAAATGCCCCTGCTTGCTAACAATAATTTGAGATGGGCCCCTGTCCCCTAAGGGAAAGAGTCCTGTCCAAACAAGAGTTTTGTGAATGTCAGGCTCTTTGCGGTTTGGAGGGGCGACTCCTTGTTTGTCAGACTGTGCAGATGGAAGAACAGCCACTGCCTTCCGCACTGAGTGCCAGTGCCCCCTGGGCGCACACGGCCTCTGCTCCGAGGACCACGGGGGAAGGATGGCTTTGCCTGAGGTTTGCTTTCGTGTGATGGGCACTGACTTGGGTGAGCAATTGGCTTTCCTCCTCGCGCCGGCACTTCCGAACACCTGAGGGAAATTTTGTTCTGCTCTTTTCTCCCTCGTGGCCCAATTTCTTCAGTTCTTTTATGTCCCTCGCTGCAGCTATTTGTGGCCCCACCAAAAATCTGTTTGCTTCCTTTAGAATGAGAAGAGCTGCTGCTGCAGATGTGTTTGCCCCTCCAACTTCAGCTTGTTCCCGGATGGACGGATGCTCAGAACACTGCACCCGCTCACGGGGCTTCTCTCGGTTTTTCTGCTTCAGGGCTTCCTTGGGAAGCACACGCACAGCCCAGAGGGTTGGGGCTTGACCCCCCCCCCCCAGGATAGCAATTGGTATAAAAAGGCCTCGGCCTCCTGTTAGTCCAGGGGGCAAGTTTAAGGTGCCCCCCGCACAGTTCCCGGAGGGAGACGGCGATCCATGTGCCCGCGGCCAGTACCAGATTTCATTTGCGTCCATAACTCACGTTCCGTTGGCTTTTCTCCCCCTGGTCGCAGTCTTCCCACTTCTCACTTCTGCTTCCTGGAGTCACCTTTTAAAACACTGCCAGCGCCCAAGCCTTCGATTCAGGTCTGTTTTGGGGAGAGCCCCAACCTAGAGAGAAAGAAATTTCATATTAATTAATTAATTAATTAATTAAATGAATGGCTCGTTTTTTTTTTTTCTCACCCCATTTTAGGAATGCTAAATAAAACAAAACAGCGTGAGGTAAGAAACAATGCAAATTCCATGTGTTTGGCTGTGAGAATGGCACCGAGGGCTCCAGGAAGGTCCAGCAGAGTGGGGTGTGAAGAGACTCCGGAACGAGACCCCACAACGGCGGGGCCGGTCGGATGCATCGCTGGCTGCTGGCTGCAGAACGAGGTGAAAACCGCCGAAGGGCAGTTTGCAGACACGTTCACAGATCCGAACCACGCCATTCTACTAAAGAGGATTCCATTCCAATACATGGAAAATGAACAAATACGAAACTTGCAAGAAGATAAATTAGCTGGTGAACGGCACATCTATTTGGCACACACGTCTGGCAGGCTGTGGCATTCTCCCTCCCTTTTCTGTGAAGACAGTGTCTACCGCATTCATTCTAACAGTGTCATTTGCCTCCTGCTGGGATTCTCCTGCTGAGCTGTTCCCCTGGGCCCCAGGCAGGGTGGAGACAAGTGCCTAGGAGCGTGCCTCCCTGCTCGGAGACCACCCCAACTCCCCTCCCCCTGGTGCAGCCCTCAAGCCCCAGAGATCCAGTCAACACCAAGAGACCTAACTAACCACTGCAGGGCAGAATGAGGCGGGACGTGGTGCCCGCAGGAGCAGGTCCACAGCTCTGCAGGACACACAGCCAGGGCGACTTTTCCCATGAAGGGAACACAAATGAAAACTAGTCCATGGCATCGGGCTCCACATCAGGGGTCCAGGAAGAGCCGTGGTCCTCCTGCGAGGGGCCCTATGGGGCAAGAAGGGAAGCTTTGGCCAGTGGAAAGATGGACTCTGTCCTGGCCACTGTGTCTTCAGCTGTCACAGCAGGGGTCTGCACCAGGTCACCCAGGTCCCTGCCCACAGGGGACCCTCCAGGCTCTGACATGTGGGTTTAACCCAATGCACGGTCCCTGAGGGTTAAGACTCTTTCTGTCTTACCCTGGCAGGTCCCACAGCAGCACAACAGCCCCATGTTGCAGGAAGGAGGAGCAGGGGACCCTAAGGCCCGTTTGAAAGGGCACCGCTGCTGGCTCCTGCTGGCTCCTGCTGGCTCCTGCTGGCGAGTGTCCCCCTGGGTTCCCCTGGGGACTCTCTGACTCAGCAAGCTCCCAGGGAAGCCTGGTCTCCGAGAGAAGCGAGGAATGTAAAAATAGAGCCAAGAGGCTGTGCGCTGCGGTGATTACAGAGGAGTTGTTACAATTCATCAAAAACCGGGCTTCTAATGCCTCCCAGCGAGGCTCCGGCTAGTGTGGAATGAACATAGACCCGGACTTTGTTCTCACCTGTGCTGGAGCCCGGCAGGTGTCCCAGGGGAGGCGCTCAAATGGACTCCCAGGCTCCTGAGTCACAGCCATCTATCTGGCTGAGATGGCAACACACCCCAAGCCGAGATGCAGGGCCAAGGGGGGAACTTCAAGTACAGGAGGGTCAAGGGGTGGCAGACTCAAGGGCTGGAGAAGCCCATTTGCTTCCAGCAGAAACACTCACTGGGCCTCGTTAACCTGGAGCAGCTTGAAGGTAGGGCAGAGTAACAAGGAGGCTGTTTGGGTGTTGTGCTGGTTCTGGGTGACAAGGGCTTGGGCTGGGTGGTCCCCTCTGGGAGGAAGAGACACAGTGCTCTTGGTTCACCTGCAAAAGGAGGAGCTGTTGAAATCCCAGGCTGCTCATGCTCTGTGACCTGTGGAGGTCACAGAAGCTGGTCAGCATGGGATGCCATTTCTGGGCCTCTGAAGTTTCTCACCTCCTGGCATAGCTCAGCGAATGTTCTTGAAAAAAAAAGGGAATGGCAAAAAAGCCACACGACTGCCAGCATCCAAAGGCTCAGGGGAGGCAGGGTAGCTGGCACAAAGGGCAGGTGGCAGGGAGGCAGGGTGACGCCTGTCACACACTCATACGCTCTTCCACCCTGCAGCTCCCCAGCCAGCAGAGGTCAACCCTGACCACACAGCTCAGGGAGGGAGGAAGGAGCCTGGGGAGGTGGAACAGGGCCACAGGGAGGCTGCCCAGCCCAGCACTGATAAGGGAGCTGAGTTCCCTCCCTCTCCCAGCAAACACTTGGCACCACTGCCTGTGGGCATTGGGTCAGCTCCCTCTGGGGAGAGCCAAGAATGGAATTGGAGGAGGAAACATCCTGCCCAGGAAAGACTGGCCTGTTCTCTTTCCCTCTGGGGGCAGCCAAGCTTTGTGCTTAAAACCTTGGGTGCTGGGGTCAGGCTGGAGCGGGTTCAGGTTCAGGTTCTGGGAGACCTTATTCCCCCTCTTTGACCCTTGTTGTGGTTTGTAAAATAGGGAGATCAGAGGTACCAACCTCGGAGGGTTAAGGGCAGTGATGCAGGCATCCTGTTCATCACAGTCTGGCAAAGAGCAACTGCCCGACAAATGCTGGTTTTTGTAATTGCTGACCTCAGAGGCAGTGGCGCCCAGCACAGGAAAGAGGCTCCATCAGTGAATCCAGGATGCCTCTGGGGGGTGAGGGGTGGGCAAAAGTGCGGCCCCCGGGGCTGGGATCCTTTGGCCTGGCTTAGGGGAAGGGCTGGGGGCTCCTGTGTGGAAATACTCCAGCTCCGCCTCCTCCGGCTACCTGACCTCCACGCGTCCCAACCTGACCAACCGCATCGGCTCAACTCAATGGCCCTGCGGGACTGGGGAGGGTCTCAGGATGCAGACAGGAGGGGAATGAAAGGGATTCTGAATCCTTCAAGGGCCCTTCTGGAGGAAGTGCGAAACTGTGACAACATCTAGGCTCCAGAGTCTGGACTTGAATTTCAGCTCTGTGATTTCTGGTGTGACCTTGAGAAACGGAGGCAATCACTCCTGACTTTGGAATTACTGTGAGGATTAAATGAGATCCTGGGAAATGTTTAATAAATGCTGGTTTTCTTTGTTCGAAGGGTAGATAGTGCTATGAAATCATTGTCCAGTCTTTTATTGAATTGACTTTCACATCTGTACAGAATTGATCACCAGGCTTGTAAAGCAAAGATCTTCTATGTGGAGCCTTGCTCCACCCACTCTCTCTCTCTCTCTTTCTTACACACACACACACGCGCACACACACACACATTTTTAAATGAAAATTTACTTTCATAACCAAACCCACTCCAGCAGGAGTGAAGATTTCAGTGTCTGAGATGAGAACTTCGGACCCAGCCCGTGTCCCCACCTTGCCCCTTCCTCCTCCCTAGTCCCAAGCTCTCTAATTGCATCCGGAGGCTTTCTGCCCAGCACTCAGAGTCCAAAAGCGTGAGTCACTCTCCAGGAGGCTGCTGACCTGTGTGCTGTCCCAGCCAGGTCCCCGTGGAAAACGTTGAGACCTACTGCCAGAGAGGCAGGTCACGCCTTCTGGAGGAAAATGGGTTGCACACCCCAGGGATTTGTTATTGGAACTTTTTGGTTTACAGTTCATATGCAAGACACAAAAATTCATGTCTAATTCCTATTTCGGGGAATAACCAGCCACAGTCACTCAAATCAATGCCAGACAGCCTTTCCTGGCTTAGCCCACTCACATCTATCCATCACTCAGTCAACAAACACTCAGAGAGCAGCTGCTGTTGCCAGGCACCAGGCCAACGAGCCCTGCCAGCTCTGTCCTGTCTCCTCTCCATCCCACGGCTACTGCCCAAGCTCAGAATGTCACCATCGCTACTGATCTGTGACAACAGCCTCCTAGCAGATGAAGCCACTCTTCCCTGGGGAACAGTCCATTAGGCCCTGCCTGATCTCAGATGCCTGATGTTTCTGCCTCATCACCAGGCCTCTGTTCATGTTCATGGGGTTCCTTATTTTCTCTTCCTGAAATACCCACCCATCTGGCCTCCAGACCCTTCTCACCCCTGCCTGGGAACTAGGATTTCCCGAAAGGTTTACCTCCAAACTCACCTCTTTGGGTAACTTCCCCGATAACCTGGACAGGATGAGTCATACCTTCCTTTGGACTATTGTACCTCTGTCACATGACAGTGTAAACAAATCCCATCCACAGTGTCTTTCCCATGTGACGCTAAGCAACTTGGGGCCAGAAGCTCTCCCTTAGTCTTCTTTGTGGACACAGTCCCCGGCACTGAGGAAGGCCTTTGCTATAGGCCAAGTGTGTGTATGTCCCTTCCAAAACTCTTCGGTTGATTCCTAATCCCCAGTGTGGTGGAGTGAGAAGGTGATGAGGTCATGAGATGACCTAATCCCCTCATGAATGGCATTTGTGTCATTATAAAGGAAACCCCTTGTCCCTGCTGCCACGTGAGGACGTGGGGAACACATAGCCATCTATGAACCAGGAAGTGGGCCCCTCACCAGACACAGAATCTGCCAGTGCTTTGATCTTAGACTTCCAGCCTCTAGAACTGTGAGAAAGTAAATGTTGCCATTTATGAGCCTCTCAGTCCATGATAATGTGTTATAGTAGCCCAAATGAACTAGGGCATGCTCAGTTAAGTTTTGTGGAATACGCTAGTTAGTGACTTAAGGGCCCCAAACAAGAGTCATCAGTTACGATCTCTTCCTCTTTCTGTGGACCGGGGGTTGAGCAGTGTGTTAGCTGAGTGGCTCTGATTGGGGGTCTCTCAAGAAGCTGTGGTCAAGACATCAGCCATGACAGCAGTCACCAGAAGGCTTGACTGGGGCTGGAGGATCCATCCCTTTCTAAGGCAATTCATTCACCTGGCTGCCTCTGGGGCCTGGCCATGGGTGGGAGGTCTCAGCCCATCTCCATGGAGTAGGGTGGCCAGATCAATACGAGATGCTGTCAGCTCGAGCAAGCCTGTGCTTGCCCAGAACTGTCCTCTGTAGCTACGACTGAACAGGTGGGCAGGCAGATGCAACGTGGGCCACTGGAGGTGTCTGGTGTGGTTTCCATCGCCCACCTTTTCTGTTCAGAGGCAAAGGTTCTCATTCCTGTCACTTACATGAGGCCACTTAGCCAGGTCATCCCTGGGTGCCAGGGGAAGAGCCAGGCCCTTCCCACCTTGATTCCCCTCCTTCACACTTGCTTTCTTTTCTAAGAGAAATAAGTGTGTAGGGGATAACCTTTCTCTACCATGAGGTCTACACACTGGTTCAGAAAGGTTTTTGTTTTTGCATGAGATTCTTCTCAGGAAAGGGCACCTGATGAATGAGGAAGCCAAAGGAATATCCCTCCACACTCCAGGGAATGATATGCAAATTTGCTTGAGCTGGGGTGTCCCAGCTGGAAGCTGGGCTCCCCCTTGCTCTTAGAGGTACCAGGGCAATGGCTTTGGAATGCCTTCCTAGATCCTTCTGGTCAGTTTCAAGGCCAAAGGAAGTAAAAAACCCTCTCCCAGACTTCTGCCAATTCTTGGGCATTTCTATTCTCCCAGATGCATTGCTTCAGAGGTTCCAGCTTCCTTGAATGTTTTACAACACATCAAATCCAATGAGAAACTCAAGCCTGTGGTTCATTTTAACAACAAATTGTTGTCATCCGGTCTGCGGGCATTTGGCGGATTTCACTAAAGATTGGGGGAAGGCAGATCCTAAGACAGGGCTCTCACCCTACTTCACATGGAATTCGAACCCCTTGCCACTTCCTTGCTCCCTCCATCTTTTATCACTGAGAAAAACTCCAAAAATGCCCTGGGAACTCAAAAACCTTCTTCTGTTACAAATTCTTTGCTCAGAAAGCTTTCCTATCAAACACTCAGAACTTCCAGGGGCTTTTAAAATTTTACGCTGTGTCCTAATAGAGATTTTTGTTTTGTTGTAAGACAAAGACAGACACTACTTAGGAATAAGTTCAGTGCCATCTACTAACATAATCTTACCCTATCCGTTTCTTTACTGATGTTCAGCTGATGCGTTCCCCCAAATCCTGTGCCAGCTACTAAGGTAACACCACCCTTTCCACCTTGTTGCTGATTTATTTACCAGCAATCTCTCCAAACACACCGTTTGCCTGCCCACTGGGGGCCATCAGCACAACTCACATTTTGGGTGTGACCCAGAGGACATGGCTATAGCCCGAGCACAATCAATGGAAACCGTTAATTACAAGAATTCACAGGAAGGAATCCAAGGAAGCTCACGGAATCCTACAAACAGGGAAAGCCCCTGGCCCGGGAAGCCTGAGTGCAGAGGTGCACGGAGCCCATGGCAGCCTAAGTCTGGAGTTTCAGAACAATTTCTTCACGTGTCTGCCATTGATGTGACTCCACTCAAAAGACTGCCAGTCCGTATTTGTGTATGTTCTAAATTTCCAGGCCAGAGACTCTGATTGGTTCAGCTTGGGAAAGGCCTCTGTCTACCTGTGGAACCTATGAGTGATAGTTAAGGGCAGAGGAGAGGGGAGGCACGTGGGAGACACATGGCCCATTTCCACAGGTGGGGTCCAGGCAGGTGACTGGGGGAGTGGGCGTGGTTACTGAAGGAGGGACCACCCCTAAGAAGGTTGCTGCTACCATTCATC